TGAAAGAATCCCCGGGGTTCTAAACAATGAAGTATATCGTGTGTAAAATTAAAAAAGCCTCTCGATACGTAACACACTGCTTTAGGCCTTACAGGAATTTAGGATTTAGGAAAAAGATTATTAATGCTTCCTAAAACCCTGATGCCTCAATGACCTTTTTGCAAAATGGGACAACCCTACTAACGAATAATTAGACCATCTCATAAGGATTGCCGCGCACTGATTAGCAGCAGTAGTCTAACGTCTTGCAGCCTCGATCCACCGCCGACCGTCCGATGTAATAAACTTCAAAAATGACGTTTTGCACCTTTACGCAACACTGAAACTTTCGTAAGATTCGCGTAAATTGAGCAGAGAATTTTTTTTTTGGATAAATATAAGATTATATTCGTATAATTATACAACATAACACGGCTTATTAATGCTAGTGTTTAATCAGTCATGTACCTTCTATATTCCTTTTTTCTACCTTTCCCCCTCTCTTCTATCCTAACTAAAAGTTCTGCTATTTGATACTTCAATTTGCATGAAGTCAAATAACTTAATGTTCGGCGACAGATCATTATTAAACCACTATTCTAATTACCTAAGTATTAATGTAATACTTAGGTAATTAAAATAGTTTCTATATTATGTTGGTTTAACTTTAATCTATAAAAAGTGATAATCAATCATCCTAGTATCTACTACAAACATTAATTTCAAATATTCTTATACAGAAACCAGTAGTGAGGTAGATTCAAGAAACGAATGTCCTAAAATCAGAAGACATTCAATTTAGAAAAATTGTAATCCTTCGAAACTATAACCAAGAATCAATATTGCTAGTTTCCTAAACAAAAGAATCCCGACCGAAGCCAGGAACCCGCGACCCTCGTAACCAGAGCAAGGTCCATTGGTCCGGCGAATATCGATCATTATAAATTTGCAGGCGCGCGGTAACGGCGTTCGCGCACGCGACCTGCTACAAAGACTATACCATTCTACGCAGAAATACTAGTTTTGGTATGTTTTTGTTTATATGAAGTCAGTTATGAATTTGTTTATGTGATGCTGTTGATTTTGAAGTAAATTAAGTAAGACTACGTTACCGCTATGAACGAAATGTCAGGCCCGGGCCTAATTTGGTGTGAGGCCAAGATTTTTTTATGTTTATTAATTGTACAAAGACTGAAATTGTACTGCCTGGCTGAAGCCACGGGCCTTTCAAAGCGAATTTCCCAACACTACCAGATGGAAATCATCTATGAATACTAAACTAAATAGGATATAGTACATAAACTGGAATGCAAAAAGATTAAAAAATAAAACGAATTCTCACAATCGGGCGTTGCCGCGTATACGTCAGTTTTGATAAGAGAACTGTCACGGACTAAACATCAACGTTATCAATTGCACTCATATCACACATCAATGTGATTTGTTCAACCTTAAGTGTAGGGGAGACAGGGACTATTATCATCAGTCATCAGCCAGGAGATAGGTATTCACTGCTGAACAGACCGCCCCATGAAGAAAAGGTCTCCCATAGTTCCTACGTTTGCAGGTGGTTTAGAATTCGCATAAAAGTCACTGAAAAGTTTATGGACACTGGATGATGCTCAGACCAATGTCATTGTATCAATGTTTTTATACATCTTAACTTTCATATCAATTCTCACACTATTTACAAACGATTTTTGGGTCATCATCTTTCTTGCAATCCACAATTGATGACAGTGTTCACCCTCTCTTGTTGCTTTTGTTAATTGTGCATTTTCAGGCTTACTATTATTGTGCATTTTTAAACTAATTTGTAATCTTATTCATTCTCGTCTTACAACGGTTATAACAATTCAAAACAATTTTTGTGATTACGTTTTTAATTTCATTTCAATGATTTTTTTATGGCATAAGCCGGTAATCGAGAAAACGGATCACCTGATGGTAAGCAATCGGCTTCGCCCATGGACACCTGGAACACCAGAGGCGTTACAAGTGCGATACCGGTCTTTTGGGGATTAGAAGTTTGAGGATCGTTGGGGATTCAGGAATTGGTGAGATTGGGGAAGGAGAGGGAATTGGACCTCCGGTAACCTCATTCACACGACGAAACACAATGCGTGCATGCGTTGCTTCACGTCAGTTTTCTGTGAGGCCGTGGTATCACTCCGGCCGAGCCAGCCCATTCGTGCCGAAGCATGGCTCTCCCACACATAAGCCTATGATACAACTCATTCAAGTTAGAGTCATAATTGTCGTATCTCCCCTACCTGAGGTTTATTGAAGACTAATGCTAGGTTTTAGACATGTGTAGAGGTATGTCATTAAGTGCTTTTACAGAACTGTTTACTTAGTGTATCAGATAATGATACTGCACTAATCTAGACTCAGAATGTTATTACAGCTAAGGATATAGTGATGAAGGATAAACAGTTATTAGGATATTCGCTTTTGGCTTTGTAGTAAATTCTGTAGTAACATTTTTGTCCAGTTATCGATATTCTTGTATTGTTGGACGTTTATTTTGAATACCACTGCAGACTAAACGCAATAGCGTTTAGTAATATTTACTGAGTGGTATCTGACGCAACCCAGAATCATATCTGGAGCCTTATACGTAATAATCAGGCTTGCGATCATTAAACTAGCGAGATAAACTTAAACTGCCCTTCAGAAAATACTCTAGTAGTTAAATTTGTAGATTAATTAAATCACGTAAGTCCATTTACTTAAATAACACATGTCGTTGTAACAGTCTGCGTCCTATCTCATCTATGTCAGGTTTACGCTGCGGCGATAGCTGCGCGCGCGCCGTCTATACATCACTGCGCTTGCTCTCTATATTTGCTCACGACCGATAGAAATTATCGCCAGAGAACCACATGAGGGAAAACCAACCTTACCAAATAGCCTTATAGTTTATATTTCAGTGAAAATCAGGTGGGGATATTTTTTTCAAGATGTGGTCGCAGTTGAGTACCATTTGCCGTATTTCAGCGCGGAAGGTACATAAATCGAGAGCGCCGATTAACGTTATCTGGTTGTGGGGGGATGCGGGCCGCGGGGGGAGGGGTGACGGCGATTTATTCATTCATTAACTAAACGACCCCTAACCGATGGATTAATTAGGCCGACTTGCAATACCGCTTCTGTTTTAAACCGTTTTATGTGAAAGTTTGCGGACATTTTAAGGAGAATATCTTATCGTGAGGCGAATGTTATTAGAAATTGTAGATAGTTTTATCATAGCTTTACATTGACCAACATTAGATACAATTAATACCTTTGAACAACTTCCACTACCGGTTTAAATAAGGATTCATGCGAAACAGAATTGAGACGCCCGATACATGTATCTGTAATTTCAGACGCCTCAATTTTGTTCCTCCGCAATAGTATAATGACTCTCTTGATATTTTAATTTATACTGCTGCATACAAAAGGCACTCATCAGCCACAAAGTATTGTAACATTCAATTATTCGCTAAATTACATATATTCAACTTGTGTAATGACAAAAAACAAGACAAATGATCATTAATAGAGCCAGCGAGATGATTGCGCTGATTAGTTCAGCAGCATTGCGCGCGCGCCGGTGGCAGCACCGTCGCTCAGATTGTAGTGCAATGAATAGGGTTGGCATACGACCTGTTTTTATTAATTGGTGATTTTGATTACTTAAAAGTTCGTAAAAAATAAAACCCGAAATAATAATTATATTCTAATAAAAATTATGTATGCACAATGTTAGTAAAAGCTCTTCCTATTATGTAAGTACGTATAGTCAATAATACTTAAGTCAAATAACCATTTCTTTCTCTAAATATACATTTAGTGGAATCATTACAGGCTGATATTGTGTTAAAATAGCCAAACAAAATCAAAACTTTTTTAAAGACAACCCTGCACTTGACACGCGCGGCGTGTTACACTTCTGGTGCTAGTTAAAGAGACGACCGACACCTCCTACTTTACCACCAGAAGAAAATACACTAATTGCGTTACAATTTAACTACTCGTCTAATGACATTAATTCTACTACTTTAGATTCGGATGACAAAGGCAGAACACGGGATAGTCAATGGTGATACTTCAATGCAAATTTATTGCAAAGGAGAATATTAACATCAAACAATTAAAAACAATCCTATTGCAATTTTCGCTCCATACCACGGAACAGTATTTATACTGATGTCTAATTAATTTTTTTATGGAACCAAAGAATTTAGGCTGGCACTCTGCTTTCGAAAACACCGCATGATTTCGGTCATCTTAATTCTTACGGAGCACCTCTCATCTTTACGTTACGTCCTGCAAATGGGGACAATATTTGCAACTCATAAAAGGGAAAATTACCTGGAGCAACAACTTACAACATATTAGTTAGGTATAACGTGGAACAAGTATGATTAAAAACATTTCCCGGCGGCCCACATCATAATCAGAGCCTGCCGGCAGCCGGGCCTTAACCAAACTAATTCAGAGCAGTTTGAAACACAGATGCGGCGATACCCTATCAGTAATCAGCGCTATTGTTTAAGATTTAAGCCGTACACCGCCGATGCCACTAATTGTGGCGAACCGTACGCGTGCCCTTTGTCTTATGTAATTACTTTTATAAATCTACTAAGCGATTTACATCAACACGATAACATCGTAAAGGTTAGGTTTGTTCTCGTCACGGTTGAAGATCTAGAGTTGTTTATGTGATAGACTACAGCACTTTAGTGTTCACCCTGATTTTACCTGATGGTGTATGTGTGGTGTATTCTGGAAGTATACAGTGACTGGCTTTAGATGCCTTTAGTGTAACCAAAAATTATTTAAAATATTATTGCTGTGAAAATTAAGTTATATTATTTTTATTTTAATGGATTTCGGTACCTACTATTAAAGAGTTCTAAAACTTAAACTGCTAAAAACAACGTTTTAAAGCACGATCTTCAGTGAAGCTTCACTCTTCAACAAGTTTCGACATCAAAAGATAATTTTAATAACAAGTACCCAAGTGTTCTTACCTTTCAGCTTGCTCTGGCACCGCAGTTGATCAATGATGCTGGTCAGCCTGTTCTCCCTCTGGCTTCCCTTACTCATCACCTCATCCCCATCATCCTCCTCTTTCACCAACACGTCACTTTTCACTTCACTCACCTCTTCACTGCACTTCACTTCCTGAGACTGAACACTTGACTGAATCGCCTCCATTTTACATATATATATTTTGCACTGTAGTTGAATAGACGTATCGGCGTCACTGAAACAAACAATTAAGTTTTGTTATGATTACATTTTGTTAGTTATTTTGTTCGGTACTTAGTTGATTTTAAGTTCTAACAGAATACAATATCTTTAATAAAGCATCCGTTCCTAGATTTATTCACATCCCACAACTGCAATACCAAAAGAGCAGCAAATACGTTGCCTACCGTTCTAGAAGCGATCGCTAGATGGGTCGTTTAGGTTTACTTTACAAACTTATCCACATGGTAAAATCCAACTCAAGCGCTGTTTCAGACCAAATTACTGCATTTTTTTACGTTATATGCTGGCAAACGAGCATAGAGATTTCCTGATGGTAAACAATCGGCACGGGCCATGGGCACCCAAAACATCAGCGTGGAGTGACAAGTGCGTTTTTTTAATGCGACAAACGCGTCACAACCTCCCACGAACACTGCAACTCCTGTAACCAGGATCTACAATAGATGCAACCACGAAATCAGCAGAACATTGAAATCAGGCGCGTCCCAGGGACTGTCTGTCTCGATTCCACCAACGAAATAAATCCAAAGATATTGTTTCCTCTTCCCTCGGTGAATTACTGTAGGATACAGAATGAATTAAGCCTAAAGGCTCAAAAAGAGACTGCACAACTGGAAGAAGCCAAGTCGCCAAGCACTACGGAAAGTTGACTAAAAACTAAGCGGGTATGCCTGATAAGTGCGTTGTTGAATTTTGTATGAGAAGTATAAGACAATCATTCATATAAACATGCACATTGAAGTATCACGACATACTTGCTAGGTTCGTCCCGGGAGTTACGTGTGTACGTCAATGGGCGCGATAATGCAACACTTACTCTGTACACACCGTGATAAATGTTATCACACCGTCTGACGAGTCCGATCAATCACATTTTTACTTCAATACATACATTTTTATGTTTGTCATTGCGCTACGGGCAGAAATAGACTTTTGGAAAAGATTATTACTTGCTAAAATAGTCTGTTTAAGTATTGTTAGTTAAGGTCTATTTTTAATATATTAGGATTGGAATTATCTTCTAAACATGTAAAAATCTTATTATTCATAACCTTTATGTTAGCTTTATTTATGTTATGCTGTTCGTTATTATTATTTTTGTGTCTCTTGTTTATTATAATAATAATTCAAAGCAATAGCTGTGTACTTAGGATTATAAGTTATAATTCCAAGAACAGTAAAGTCTGTCTGTACTCGTGTACTGGTAAACTTAAGTTACTACTTCTAGCTAATTGCATTGTGCCTTGTAGTTTCAAATACTAATAAGTTCAAATTGAATGTGACATTGCTATACGAAATACATCTGGAGTGTTCTAACAAAATTGCTTATTGAAATAAACAACAAAATACCAAGAATTCCTCATTACAACAGTTCAATTTGATAACGAAATATTTTAGATAATATTTTCTTGACATTAAAGTCGTAAATAGCCTTGACGAAACAAGATTATATTTATAAATTCTTGCCGTGACCTCTACCTGAAAAACACGTAACTTTAAATATGAATTGCTGAAAACATTCTTCAGTTACAAAGTCTACTGAGATATCGATAAATTGATATTTAAAAACAATTGTCCTACTTGTGTTTAATCATTATTATCACACTATATGCTTCCTTTATAAGTATCTTAGTACCGATGCGTTTACATGAATGCAAAGGAGTTTGACTTATAAATCTATTTTAGGACATCACAGCTAGGCAACCCTAAAAGGAGATAAGTATAGGATTGCCTACTACATGCTATTGTAAAAAAAATGGAAATGAAAGAATAGGAGGAGAATATTTAGGTAGAAGACGAATGCAGAAAGACAATTTGAACTACCAACCAGACTTAGGTACTGTGGAAAAGAAAACAATATGTTATATTGATATCACACACTTTTTGATTCAGACTGCTCATGACAGGGAAGTGTTGTACTTTATCATAAAAAAACAAAACAAACTTTACAGTCTTGTCGTTACACGTCAAATTATTTTATATGAATGAGTAGAACTTGCTAGACAGATTAGTGACATCGTTGACACTCTGTTGAGCAAAAATATGCGTTATTTTTACAGGAATTAAAATTGCATTTCCCGACAAACAAACCCTCTGGAATATTTTACATTACAAGTGACAATTGTATTAAAAATCGAGTAGTTACAAAAGGAAATCTGTATCAACTAAAGAAATTAAACTTGCTTAACAAATATACTGTCTATTCTATATGCAATCTGAAAAACCTATACTCATTCTCGTCATTGTTTTGTAGATAACACGCAAATAACGCGTGAATATGCCATTTTAGAACAAACAGACAGACTCAAATACATTTACAATATTGAAATCAAAACTACACATTTACACATACAATATCTACTTGAGTAAACAACGAAACACATACAAGAACACAGTTTATCGTTTACCTACAACTGAAATCCCACACCGACTCCGGTTCACGCAAGTCAAACGTTCAATAGTTCACATAACCTTTACACAACATAACCATATACTGTAACACTATAGAATTAACCATAAGAAACACTTGAACCACTTCTACGAACAACTAGAAAAAGAAAATGTTCCAACTATGAAAAAGTTTCGACTATATTGTAAGGATTGTCGGAAAATAATATGTAAAAAGAAAAACAATTTAAAAACAAGAGTTGGAATATAACAACAGGTAGACCGTGACGGTGGTGCGGTTATCGCCGTGAAACTGATAACTTGTGTCAGGTCAAACGAACAAATGGGGCGTCACCAAGGTACGCCTGATAACATTTGATAACGGGCTCTTAACCTTCTGACTGTACTCTAGTTGAAACGGTGTCATCAATGTGCCATGGTACAAACACTTATGTGGCTGATAATACATCTAAGTATTGTGTTTTATGTCTTTATTGCACACGGATCATTGCTTCTTTGATCTTATGCACTTCCTATCTCTGAACTGCATCTGAGTTCAATAAATAGTTAGGCAAATACTTTCTGACAATGGAAACACTGCGACATCCCAATCTCTATATTCCCATTCTCTAGTATAAGTCGCATGCATGCAACAAAAATATTCACAAGATAAGTCTGTCGATCTACATATTCCCTTAACTCGTTGAGTACCGTCATTATAGACACAATTAAAAAAGAATAGGTTGCGGTCACTAGTGACCGCGCGGTGTTTAACAGTTTAACTCGTCGAGTACCGGTTTTGTAGACCACCAAGCGGTCACTGGTGACCGCAACCTATTGTTCTATAATTGTGTCTATAATGACGGTACTCGACGAGTTAAATCACAATTAAATAAAGTATTACTAAACCGTACATATTTACAACGCTACGTGGTAGACACAGCGTTGTAAATTAATTGTAATTACTGCATTTCGATTTATTTTTGCATATACAAACATATGCCACAGTTCATTAACTCATGTAATATTGGTACAGGTGCGTGTGATTTTACAAAATGTTTTGTTATAAAATGTGACATTTGCCCCTGCTCTGTTCAACTACACAATTAGAGCATTCATAATAATTATATATTGTAAGCATACAGTATATTAACAAGACGCCTGTCTCCCCTACAATTTTGCAGAGGTCATGAAACTTATAAGTCCGCCGTACTTCATTCATCAACTTCAACTGCCCCAATGCAAGCTGGACGGCAATCCATAAGGTCGGTTCGGTAGAGCACAAGGGGCAAGAATTTTAGAATTGGATTTAAAGTCAAAGCATTAATTAAGCACTTTCGAAACGCCGAAAATTTTATTGTCGTCCGCGTATCCGTCAGTGAAGCTAGGCGCTCGTTACAAACAGTTTCAGTGACTGTGGAGTCTGGAATTGTGACCCTACCACCACTTAGCCCTTACATATAAGGACCAAAAAGAAAGTTTAACTAATCGTCCGAAATTGTTCATATCCCCTGAAATACAAAGAAGGGGATTCCCTCAATTCACTAAATTGTTACATAATGTTCTAAAACGTTTTACTACCGATCATACATTTTTGTGTTAGTTTCACGCCTTGTTTTGCACAATTATCGAAAATGTGACGAAGACGTTTCTTATCAGCTACCTACTCGAGCGGTAATTCACATACAAATGTAATTAATTCTTACCTGAACTCTGACAAAGTTCATGTACCTACATTATGATAGTGAAACATTTTAATTAAATAAATGTTCAACTTGTTACATTTTTTCATACTTAACACGAATTTTAAAAAGTTGTATTCGGCGCATGATCATTATTGTAGAAAGCCTGCTTTCTCGAAATTGTTTTTGATCCATTCAGGAAATATGCTCGTACTGTATAGTACTGTTTGGTTGACTGCTTGTGACCTTGTCATGAAAAATATGAAATGGAATTTCTAGAAAAAGGAAACGAAACGATTTGTATAAGATCTGAAGAGAAGCCTGACTTGGTAATAACAGATTTTAAGACTCTTTTCCATATCTAAGCACAATTATAATCCATTTAGAATTGCTTCACCTAAATTACAAAAACAATACTAAATCCACATATTAAACACAAACAGCTTTCATACCCTGTCTGCGTAGAGTGTCTAGTACATTAATCTCAACAAACATAATATCCCATACTATGTTACTTTGTATTTGTACGGTTAGTACTGCAAATAATGTGCAGCAATAAACGTCGGCAAGTCACGACCGGTCATGTAGACAATAGATAAGACCCGATATGACACACACATCTACGGACAAAGGAAACTCATATCAGTTCTGAGGAAAATCAGTTGATAACGTTATTTGTAGCACTTGAGTGCACCCTTCGAGTATTGGCGTACAGACGTACCTTGTGGTAATGATAGAAAGAGAATCATATTAACTCGTCGAGTACCGTCATTATAGACACAATTATAGAACAATAGGTTGCGGTCACCGGTGACCGCTTGGTGTTTGACAGTTTAATCTGAAAACCTGTAAATATTTCAGAGTGCGCCGTTTCTTCATGTAAATTATATGGCTGTTGTTATATTCAGCCAGAAGCTTCAAAAACCTGAAAACGGGTGTACCAAGAATGTGGTTATACCCTTATGAAGTTATGGATGATGAAGGATCAGTAAAGTGTTTCCATATAAAATACTAATATTCGGCCCAATGGTCAGGGTTCAGTGAAAACTAATCGAGAAAACAGCACAAACAAAGACGTTTCAGATTAAAAGAGTCCCTGAATTCTCATAAAATCAATTTAACGTTACTGAAAATTGCTATTTAGTTGGACGATGTTGTGGTAAAGGGTATCTTAAATTCAAACACACTTCTTACTTCAGAAACCAATACTGCATAATGTCCATTACCGCTTTCCATACATAATCCCTATATTACTCTACACTTTATATAATAAAGCGAATAAATATTTATACCATATTAATAAACCTCTTAGCGAGTATCAAGTGGTCTCCGAACTTTACCAGATGTGGCTTAATCAGTATTCTGTGGAAGCTGTACATCGAGTATATTTGGAGTTGTCATCTACGTCGTGTGTGTACTGGCAGTTGGCAGGCACCTGGCTGTGACGTCACGAGCTAATTCCGGCGAGACGAGGTCGTGACCCGACGCCCTGCGCACACGCACACACGCACACATGCGCACCGTGCACTGCTACCCGAAAATACGTAAGACTACGATTTTGTGCCGAGTCTTATTGAACTATTTCAATGAATTTAGTTTTTGTTGTCTTTTTGGAGTGGTGTTGATACCAGTATAAATTGGATAATAAATTTTTATACTCTTACTTGGAAAAATTGCTGACATCATAAATCAGTATTATCAGTATTACGGTTATGTTTAATATCTACCTAGAAAGAACAAAACATTTTGCAAACAAAATTGAAATACGTCTAACGCCTATCCTTTAGCTAAACATCCTTTTACAGGTTGCATTGTAAGTATACCCCCACTTTTAACTTTCTATTTATTAATCTCGTCTACATACAAAGTATAATAATTAGCATGATTTTTGAAACACATGTAATCATGTAATCTACAATTCTACTTCCCCATTCAGCAGTTAGCACCGAACCAAAGAGTCTTCTATTAGTTATAGTGTGGTATCAGATTTGGCACGATGCATTATCCACATCGCATATAAACGTTCACAGTAACAGGTGTAGTTGTCTGTAGCAGTTTTCATTGCATACAGTTCATATTACTGTACAAATACAGCATATTGCATTTATCCTGCATGTAAGCTGCAGGTTCATAGGTATAGGTACTGATATGTCGCGGAGAACCTAACGGGTTACCGGGGCTCCGGCTCGAAGTGCAGGAGTAGGAACGGGGTGGTTTTTAGTCAGTAAGAGTCTGCACTCCCTCACGCTTCACCCAGGCGCAGGAGTCATTCGATGATTTTCCCCCCTTAAAAAAAGTTGGTACTGATATATTATTTATGTATATGTACTAATTCAGATGATACTCCTACTTCTTTTTTAATGGAACAGGAGGCAAACGAGCAAACGGATCACCTGATGGTATGCAATCAACGCCGCCCATGGACATCCGCAACACCAGAGGAGTCACAGGTGCATTGCCGGCTTTTTAAAAAGGAATACGGTCTTTCCTTGAAGGTTTCAAGGTCGTATCAGTTCGGAAATATCGCCTACGACAGATCATTCCATAGTTTAATTAACTTCAAAAGGTAAGAGATGCAAGAAAAGTTTCGATGCTGAATTCTATTCTGAAATGTTCACTACTGCAAATCAAATTCATTTCAGTAACTCTTACGAAAAATAAATTTCGTCATTAACCATTTATTATTTTATTCTACGAAAGTACGAATATGTAAAAAGAAGCTTTCATTTTTTTATAAATAAACGATAAAATTCCATGAAGGGTACACTTGGTGTTATTGAAACTATAGAAAACAAAATCAAAACAATTCTACACACACTATTCAATGAATTCAAGTTAATCCTTAAAGTTAAAAATTAAATAAAACACAATTTTAATATTATTAGTTATTGTTTGTTATCGCGTCTCATAACCAAACGTTGGCACTGTTCCACAGTAGTTGGCGATATGCGCCTACACCAGAAATAGACACAGTAAGGATGTGACCTGTCCACCTTCATTCCCGTTGCCCTAGCGTGACGATACTCTTCCCAACTAATGCTAAAATATACTAAAATAGAAATGTCAACAACTATTCATATTCAACTCTTTTTTTTTTTTGAAAATGTCAACTTGAACTACATATTTCTACGAATTTCTCATTTTACTAATTCATTTACGTCAATCATTCATTTGGGTAAATTAGTCATGCAACACAAGAACATTTATTATGAAATCAATGCGGTAAAACGAAATGAGAAAAACAAAACAAAACTTTTCATGCACTAAGACACTAGTAGAACAAAATAAGCCTTTCATTATAAAGTTTCTTACATAAATATGATTTTCAGTTCCGAACTTTATGTTGTCTTAGGAAAAGAAAATAAATAAATAACGAAACTAGATGAACAGTGAAGTTGCTTCAAATACATAATTATTCTTCTACCGCTTTCCATAACAGAGCAATCAAACAACAACTTAAGTACCTATAAGTATCAACACGTACAATACCTATGTCATAATCAAATTCACAAATAAGACCAAAAACTCTCTAATTAACGTAACTCCGAACAATGTCTTTAAGAAAAAAACAATCGGCCACCTGAACAATGATTGTGTAATGGCGCCCCGACCAGTAATTAGCGCAGTGCTAAGTGAAATCCCGTCAGACGTTCACTTGAATTATGAAAATCTTAGACGACATCACACTGGTATGATAATAATTTACTATTGTGAGTGACTAATCAGTGATAGAATTAGCTATTTAGTAACATCTAAGCCTTCTTACTATACTGATAGTAGTGTTAAAAGTCGGTGCAAGAGCTTAAATAATATGCAAATCGTGTCTTTAATATACTTATTATTTGAGAATGTTCTAATATATTTTTCAATTGATTGTTTTGAAATTGTTTATTTTAATTGTAACCAAGATATTTTTCGCTAACAATTTTAAAAGTTTAACAAAATTTTTGTGATTTAATCTGCAAATAGATATTTGATCATAGTTATTTAATTTTACCCCCCACTGAAAATTGAAGTGCAGTGAAGTGTCATGTCATGAAATTAACTACTTATAACAATTTGTCCTACAGTGTGTACTATTCCAACTGATCTGCTACCTCAACGATGTGCACTCAAGTTTCGAGGACTCCATCCAGGAAATGGACGACACCCTCGAGCTAGACGATTCCGGGTCAGAACAGAAAGAACTTAAACATTCTCATCATCACCACCACCTCCGACTTGGACATCACCACAGGAAGGGGCATTCACATGAAGATAACAATGAGGATTATGATGACTGCGACTGCTCCTGCAGTAAGTGTGACGCGCCCTCTGAATGCTGTAAGAACGTGTGTAAGAGCTGCGCCAGCAACATCTACCAGCAGCAAGCGAGTGCATTGAGTGGACAGAGCCAGGCCAGCGTGGTGTTCGTGCCCTACCCATACCCTTTAATGGTGGCAAGTCCAATGATGAAGAGCATGAACCACCACCCTACAATGCTTGCACATGCTCCCACCACACAATCCACTACCACCACTGCTGCCCCAATTACGACCACCGCTACCGCCGCAACCACCACTTCTAATTCGACGACCTCGAATACTACCGGCAGCCGTTCTGACTTTGAACCCTCAAATGCACTGTATCTTAAATCACAGAACAACGAAAATGTCCTAGATTCGGTGCTTAAGAGTGTAGTAGACGATTACACAAACATAATCGTTAAGACGCCGGAGAAGTCAAAGAGTGGCAACAACAAGTACATGCTGACATCACTGCGTCGCACAAAGCCCACATGGATGCCCAAGTTCGGGATTGTCCCCATCTCAGATGATATGGCCGTGAAGCTAATGTCACAACTCAGGGCTCGGTACCCCATTCGCGCCCAGAAAAGGCCCATGCATGACCCAGTAATGAAAGTGCTACCCTAACATAACACACGGTAGCTGTTACTACATTAGTTAGTTGCTTCAAGTCTCTCATTCATGCTACGTGAAAATATTTATTGAGAGTGTAGGAAATTGTATTATAAAATAAGTGTACTCAATTTTTTATATGTGTAAACAAATTGTTCAGAACATAAAAGTATGAAATATTGAAAGGAAATAGTTTTACTATTTTTTGAATTACCTAAAACTCGATGTACCTATATTCAAGTTTTTATAACATTTCCACGATAAAGAAAATGCAAACATGCTGACAGCGAAATTATTTAAAGAAATAAATAACTTTTTGAGATAAATACCTACATTTGACAATTCAAAATACGTAATCGATTCCTTAATGGTTGTTGCAACAGGACCGGGTTTTGACTTATGAATTACGGAAAAAGATAAACTTTCTTTAATAATGACTTTGGTAAGTTATCTACCTTATATTATTACTATTCTACCTACCAATAAATAATGTCGACAACTACACTCAAGACATGACGAATTCGTAACATTACCTAATATTTAATTGTTTTAACGCATTTCAGGTAGGCAATGTCCTATTAATGTGTTCATTGTTACAAGTGAGTATTTGCATGAGGAACTTTCATTTCCCACATCCGTACATCCATGGACTGGGGATGTACAATCACTACCCATATTATGAAGACTACGGCAGTGAGAGCATGGTGATGCGCTCGCATAGAAACAGGCACCAATACCGGTACAAAGCCAACTCTGATTTCTCACAATCAGAAAACCATTACAAACGGGGATGTAGGTGTAGCTGTGCCAAGTGCAGGAAACCTAAACCAAAGCCGTGCTGCAAGGACTTCTGCGCCCAGCAGTGTCCTATGCTAAACAACATATTTGTGGTACCGTACCCGGTACCTTTTGTAGTCAGTCCGCTAAATCAGTCCATAACCGAGCAACCAACTACACATTCATCATCACCGGCACCTCAGACATCAACAACATCGTCGACGACGCCATCGACACAGACATGCACCACGATGCCACCACCAGAAACTAAATCCACAGCCGTCTTCTTTGTTAGAAATCAGCCAAAACGCTTTCGAATCGTAGCGGACAAGAGAAGGAGAAATATGGGAAACAATGACATACGACCACCCCCCAAGTTCAACAGACTGCCTAAGTATGGAATAGTGCCCATACCTGAGAAATTGGCGATCAGGTTAATGGAGCAAATGAGGGATGATCATAGGAAAAATCCATATAGAATGCAGGCCAATTTTGATAAAAATATTTTGCAAAACTACTAGCAACATATATGTAGGTACTCAACAGATTCTTTTAAATTGCTACTTTACAATTACAATTAACAGTCGCTATCAATAACAGTCGATATCTAGGTATTTGCTAACTCACACATTTTTGTATACGTACAAATTTGTAACAACATTGGTAAATAAATAGTAAGTAAATTAGACATTGGTACAGGCTTTACTGTCGTTTTTAATGAACATTGACTAATTTCAATAAAAGTATCGAATAAAATATTAGCGATATAAAAAAAATCAATTGACCTTTCATTCAAACAGAGTCTAGTATCATAAATTAACTTCAGGAGTTAATTTATAACAATTATAACAAGATTGCCGTACACGTAACTATGTACATGTAGAAGTACTCACATCTAACACGTCGTGATAAATAAATAATACAGCACGCACTTCCAAAACATTTTTCAGTAACAAACTGCACAACTAATAAACACACGTAACATTTCAAAAATTTTGTTACCACGAAGCGATCACTGAAAACTGAAAAACTATCAGACACTGCACCGCAATTCCTTTAATTTTTCACACTACTGTAACCGCTGTATATGCTGTATTTCAATTAATTATCCATTTTACTATTGTTTAGACAATAGGGCGCGACACGTTGAGCGTGGCTTGACCTTTCAGAAGTCAGCGAGACTGCGCCTGAGTCGCGCGGGGTCACCAACGATTTATTTTTAGAGTTTAAAGTTCAAAATACGACTGTTTGAAGACGCGATGACCGACCGCGTGAGCTTCCGTACATGATCGCGTTACTTATTGGAAATAGATTAAACACACACGATAATGATCTCTGCATTCCTTAAGACGGATTAATTTAAAATTATTGTGAAAAAATTAAACAATGTTCTTACCTTCCTGATATTAGCAGCAATGTAAAAAATGCAGATCTAGGTAAAAGAGGAACTTCTCTCAATATAATGAGATGTCGTGTTTAATATCAATAAACATCTGGCTTAATTAAGAAAGACAAAAGTACAGATCAGATCGACGATTAAAATTAGTCTAATAAACAAAATAGTAAACTTCATGCTATCATAATAAGCGGGTAATAAACAAAGAATCTCTGAATCGGACCAAATAATGACTTGTACAAACTTCTTAAATTTTCAGTTAAAAAGCACAAAAATCCCGCCAAAAGTGTTTACGTCATTCTAAAGGGAATTAGCCGGCATTGGAAGCGTGTGCGCATGTAACGGCGACAGGTCAACGGTGGGCTATTTTGGCGACATCATCCGGGGCGCCACTGTATTTAAAAGCAATATTATTTGATCAAAACCAAACGAATTGGGTCACTTTCATAAAATTCTCTGAATATTCGCGCGTGTTGGTACGTATCTACAAAAGTGATGTCACATCACATACGAAGAACGAGTCGTTGTCTTCATAAATGGAAACCGGGTTACCATAGCTACTGAGCAAATGTACACGCATTTATAGTTCAAAACCTTAGTAAACTTTTGGTTGGAGTCTTGGGGTATTATTCTTTGGGTCACTGAGTGAGCACCACCAATTTTATTGAGAGGAATGTAAACTGACTCAAACTCGAGTGGACTCAAACTTGTAATGAACTTATTGTACCTACCTACATTAATTGTAGTATACTTATATACTTCAAAAAAAATCAGAAACTACGTGAGTGGACTGTTTAAGAGGGCGGCGAATGAGCCCCTCATTATGGTAAGCTATGCAATCATCATCGCACATGAACACCCGCAACCCGCATAGGAGTTGCAAGTGCGTTCCTGGCTTTTTAGGGGTTAGGGGATCCAGTACCAGGCGGTTCGTATTGAAGCATGGCTCGCACATCAAAAACCAACATTAGGTTAGATAGTTATTTTGTATATTACACGATATCACATATCACAGAAAAGTTGAAAACCACCAAGAAAGATCGTCGGTGCATAGGATAGATAAACATCAAGCGCCTGAAAATAAAATAAAGCAATACCTTGATTAGGGATTTTAGCTCACATATTCTGAAGCGCCTGATATGTAATTCATATCAAAAAGTCACTTAAACTAGTGACAGATTTGTACCTACCCTAACGGAGAAGGCGTACCTACTATATTAAACTGTCAAACACCAAGCGGTCACCGGTGACCGCAACCTATTGTTCTATAATTGTGTCTACGAAACCGGTACTCGACGAGTTAATTTTAGTTTTATTGATGTTGAGTTGTCTTTTATTTAACTGCACCTGGGGCTAATGTGTCGTTGACTAGGTATTACGCTAGCAGTGCTAGAACGCCGTGAGAGACTAAGCAGAGGTAATCTGAAGCTGCCTACTGTATTCAGTAGGCAGCTTAAGTAACGATTCAAAAATGAAACAATGGTGTTTATTTATCAATGGTTCTACCTTATAGGATATGTTAGTTTGTAAGTATTTACGTTTCTAATTATGTCGCCGACATGAGCAGGCATGACCGCATTTACAAGTTAAAAAGTTTGAAGTTTGCTAGTCAAAGTTGTATAGTTATTTTTAAAAACAATCTACTTACCTTTCCGTCGGATCACAGCATAAGCAACCCATTTTAAATAAGTAACACTATTTTCCAACAAGATCAACAACGTCAATAACAACTATCACACAACCGAGTTAGGGAGGTACAAATGAATAACAATATGACACAAAATATTTAGACACTACCCTCGGAATCACTATTTTGATAAAAATGTGAAGAAAATCTTTATTGTTACTCCTCCGCAGAATTTAAGTATTTGTTTTAACACTAGCTGTAAAGAATATGAATTTTAGAAAAAAAACGTTCTTTTCGTTTTAAATTTCGAATATTACTTTATTTCAAAAATCGACATGTGTATCGGTATGTATATTCATATGGATGCAATAAAAAGCGGTTATTATATTATTATATTATATTATTAAATTATATTACAAAATAGACATTTCAATTTTATTTATCTGTGAAGATTAAATTGTAATGTTATTATTTGCACGTAATATGGTGAGTTTCAAGAAATCTATAAATGTAATCGTACTAATCATGTATCTATCTAAATACAAACTAGTTCCAATAGCTAATTGGGTTCAAAAGCGGCCTTCATCAAAAATTAATTATTTCGTCTGTTCAATACAATAAAGAATTTAAAAATAATCACACTTTCATTAATTGATTTTTGTATTTTTTTTAAGAAATAAGTACGCTGTTCTACGCTAAAAATACGTGACGTCACAATGCACAATCTCGTACAGAATTCATACCAAAACTGTCGTTTTTGTCAATTCGAAAAAAGAATTGAATTTGGCTAGTTGGCAAGTGTCCAATTGCTAATAGTACTACAGAGTAATAGAGGTACTTAGCAAAGGAGTATAAAACTGATAATAAGGGAAAAAATAAAAGAAAATATAACTTACAAACAATAATTTTATTATCTATTCATAAGAAGTACACAGCCGTTTTTAAATAAATGAACGTTTCATATTCTAACCTAATAATATAATCACTTACAGTATGGCAATAATCAATTAAATAAATAACTATCAACAATATTCATAAAGATATTAAATTTTACATTAAAATAATGCTAGAGAGGTACCATTCGCGGGATTTATATGACAAATAACTAAGGAATCCTTACTTTGCCAATTACAAGTATATTGTAACTTTTGTCTACAAATTGTTCAGTAATGTTAATACAATGGTAGTGGTACCTTCCAGCGTACGCTATACATTAACTATCTATGTTTAAACTGACTCCGTTGACACAACTTGCCACTTCGAGCCGTTCACGTCACTAAACATAACATGTACCACTAAAGGACGAAACGACGAAACATAAAGTACAAGTCAGATCAAATGAGTACTACAATACATTTAAACTATTCAAAACATTAAACTACATTTTCACGTCAAATCAGCAAGTAAAACAACGGGACTAGGTCCCGTAAATACTCAAGCGTAACCATTCATCGTGTACTCAAAGTACAATCACAACACCATACAACAATATTGTAAAATTAAATGCACAATCAAAATACGCCTTAAATTCTAATCTGTGCGACGAACAATAAGGCACAAATTGGCAATCATATATCACAACAATATAAAGATTCAATTTACAATCTTCATTAATACGAACATCGCCGAACGATGCCGAATGTTGACGAGACATTTTCGAGCACGATGTTACTGCCTACCACAAACTATCGCCTGACATTCTTTCTGTATCAATCCCCTCGATATAAATTCTCTCAATAAACCATTCGACTAGTTAACACTTGAATTTCTTAATACGTCATTTTCGACTAATTACTCTATCACTTACATCATAATCTTACGTTTGTTAATATAAGAATGCAATATGGGCTCTACGTCAACGTAACAAGATACGTTTTTCAGCGCACAATCAATTTGTTCTAAGACTCGTTGGTTCACTTGGTCTGCAGAGTGAGGGTGGTGATGAGCTCTTGGAAGTCGGTGACGTACCATAGAGCTCGCTTCTTGACCTCCTCACGAACTACGTTGCCTCCGAATCCTGTAACATAATAATTTAATGTTAATTTTCTCACGGAAGAAGATAAAATCAGAAACAGAATTAGGTATAAGTACTCTTAATTTACAAAAGTTTAACATTTTGAAGCGATATTCGAGAAACTTTTTGCTGCAGTTGAATTATTATCAGTCTAACGTACCAATGAATCCATCAGCGGGCGGGCTGGCCTCAGCGTCGGTGGCTCCATCTCCAATCATGAAGAGCCTCTGGTAGCCATACTGCTCCTTCAGCCGTCTGACCACCAGGCCCTTGCCACCAGATCGAGAGGTTGGTTCGTTTTCATCGAAACCCGCGTATTCACCTGGAACAAGAAAACATCATTGGTTAATTTATGTCAAATATGATTAATTTTATTCATACAACTGGTAGAAGAACAATTTATTAAAAAAAAATACTATAAGTAGAACGTCATAAGGAAGATTTTAAATGTAATTAATAGTTAATTTGTTATCAATCTATTGTCGGAATGTTGATATGA